CCTGCGCGTCCGGAGCCTGTGCTCCGCAAATGGGAGAGGCCACAGCAGTGAGAGGCCCGCATAACGCAAGAAAAAAAAAAAAAAAAAAAAAATGACAAGGCAGTTCTATAGATATTGCTGAGAGGTGATTATGGTCTACTGTAAAATAAGAAGTTCAGATGAAATCCAGTTTGTTTAATCTGACTCCATCCAGGCCAAGATGGAACAAGTCTGAATGTCTACACACCAAAATGTCGTGGGGTCCACTTCTGGATGGTGGGGATTATGGGTTATTTTTACCTTTGTCTTCACACTTTTATACTGCCTGATCTTTTTACAAAGAGCATGAAATTTTATGTTCAGAATAATAATGCTATTTCCATACTGAAAGAAGAGGACGAGGTAGAGGGCAGAGAGGAGAGGAGAGAAGGAAAAGCTAAATAAGAAACAGGTGAAGACAAAGATGACTGCCCCCCGAAGACCCTCTGAGCCTCTCCTCCCAACCCACCTGGCATGCCCACTGCCTAGGAGAGACCACCTGATCGTAATTCCGGAATCTAGTCTCCGGCCTCCAGGCCACTCTCCAGGGAGCAGGTTCCTGTCATCTAACACTCAGCTCTGGATTACACCCTTGTGCCTTTTAGCTGAGGGATGAGAGAGCTCATCAAGACTGCTGGCTCAGACCATCCCCATTTGTTCATATTCCTCTGAATGAAACTCCAGGGCAGGAACCCAACCCCTTACCCCTGTGCCCATGAGGAGAGACTCACGTAGAAACACTGTACCAGTGACCAGCTTGGCACCATCTGAGGTCACATTCCTTTAAGGTACACGACTAGAACCCACAGTGGAGGGTTTAAATTGGTTAAAGCCTGGATGGGAATCTGCAGGGCACTGGGCTTCCATACAGAGGATGTTAAGTCCTGGCCCCTCTCCCTAACGTCAGGATTGCATTGACCTGACTACTTAACTTCACTGAGCCTCTCTTTCCACTCTTGTAAAGTGGGGTTAATAACAGCACAGGCAGACCTTGGAGATATTGAAGGTTCGGTTCCAGACCACTGCAATAAAATGAACATTGCAATAAAGAGTGTCATATGAATTTTTTTGGTTACCTGGTGCATATAAAAGGTATGTTTACACTATACTTAGTCTATTAAGTGTGCAAAAGCATTATGTCTAAAAAAACAATGTACATAGCTTAATTTTAAAATACTTTATTGCTAAACAATACTAACCATCATCTGAGCCTTCAGCGAGTTGTAATCTTTTTGCAATAGTAACGTCAAAGATCACTGACTACAGATCACCATAACAAGTATAATCATAATGAAAAAACTTTTAATAGACTATTTTTTAAAGCAGTTTTGGGTTCACAGCAAAGTTGGGCAGAGGGTACAGAGATTTCCCACATACCCCATGAGCTCGCACAGACATCACCTCCCCGACCAGAGTGGTACATTTGTTACAATTGAGGATTCTGCGTCGGCACATCGTTATCATGCACAGTTCATAGTTTATATCAGGGCTCTCACCCTTGGTGATGTACATTCAATAGGTTTGGACAAATTTATGATGACATCTCCACCATGATAGTGTCATACAGAGTAGCTTCACTGCCATATAATTTTTGTTTTAAAATTCAGTTAGCTAATA